AGGAGCTAGCTGTTTCCCTTTACTAGAGAAAGGTCTATTTTGACCCTGGAGAGAGAAAGAGTTGTTGGTATTGTGTACAAGTATGTTATGTATGCAAAAGCTACATGTCCTTTTCCAGAATAGAAGTCAAAGGCTGTGCTTTTGACTTTATGATTACCATACAGTGGACTAGATGTAAGGAAGAAAAAAGAAGCATAATTTTTTAGAGTTGTTTTAGTGTGTGATCATATCAAGAAATGAAATTCTACATATGAAAGTGATTGTCTTATTGTCAAAACAGCCCCTTAATCTCTTTATGTGAGCTTGTTTCTATCATAATTAATTTTGTTTGTTAGTAAATTTCTTGTTTTTTGTGTAGTGTACAGTGACTACTCTGATATCCATTGAAAGCAATTGATCCCGGGAGTTCAATTGTTAATTTTGGTGATTGATCCCTAGAGTTCAATTCTTTGTACAGGGTGAGAATATTAGGTTATAGAGATGAAAGGCAACGGTTAGATCAATGTGGCAGACTCTATGATCTTTAGTCTTTAATGAAGGATTTGAACTTGATGCAAGTCACATTGTCCAAATATGGCCATCTTCCATTTAATGATAAGAATTGGAAGGTCTAAAAAAAAGGGAAATTCAATGTTCAAGTAAGAATTATTAGGACTTATGCCATTGAGAGTGTAGTAGAACCCTTTCCAGGCTTTGCCTCCACAACCGAGACCAACTTTCCTCTCATAAATTATTTGTTTTTGGTGTAGTAGTTTCTTATCCACTTATCACAACCTCTGATACATCATGTCACSATCTTTGGTTTTGCATTGCTAGCCATTTGTTTAGTTAATTTTTATGGTAATTGTTAGTGAGGTAATTTTTATGAACAATTATGTTACTTCACATGTGAATAAATAAATGAATAGGGGGCACTTTGGATCAAATTAACCTCACTGTCAAGAACATTTATGTTAATCTAAGTAAGGCCACATGTCTTTCCGAATTGTTTTTCCCTACACATATAACCTGTTGATCTAGGTGATGTTCTGCTATCAAATTCTACACATATAACATCTTAATTTACTTTAAGCATCGAACTACCTCATTTTTTTCTTTGCTGCAAGACTGTAAACAAATAACTTAGGGGCCATTTACCAAACATTTACCCGGTAAGCACTTACCGGTAAATTTAACACTATCGTTTACTTGCCGGATAAGATTTTAGTCCACAAAAACGGTATCGTATGCAACAATTTACCCTGTAAGCGCTTACCGTGGTAAGAGTCGTCACCTTCACTTACCGGGTAAGACTTTTGGTCCTTGTCTCGTTCTTACCGGATAAGATTTTTGATCCTTACCATATTCATCAGGTAAGGTAAAATGACTTGATGTTCACTTACCCGAGTAATCGTTTTACCAAACACTTACCCGGTAAGCACTTACCGGCAAATTTAACACTATCGTTTACTTACCAGATAAGATTTTAGTCCACAAAAACGGTATTGTATGCAACAATTTACCCTGTAAACGCTTACCGTGGTAAGAGTCGTCACTTCACTTACCGGGTAAGACTTTTGGTTCTTGTCTCGCTTTTACCGGATAAGATTTTTGATCCTTACCATATTCATCCGGTAAGGTAAAATGACTTGATGTTCATTTACCCGAGTAAGCGTTTGGTAAACGGCCCCTTAGTTAATTTAAACAGCTTGCAAAATCCATTCAGTTATGCTGTCTAAATGATACAATAAATGTTTCTTTTACTCTTACCTTTGAAAGAAATTGTAGGATTTGTTACTGTGATGTAGTTTATGTATATGAAGTAGTTGGGAAACCATGAACACAAGCTTCACATAAGGGACTTCTTTTACACAGTAACTATATTTAATACTCCACTCAAGTGTTAGGAACTTATACTAATAGGCTATGTCATTTTACCAGGGTCGGCCTTGGGCATAGAGGTTAGGGTTAGGGATTTATTGACAACCATTTGTTCAGGTTGCTTAACATTGAGGTTAGGGTTAGGGATTTATTGACAACCATTTGTTAATGTTTTAAAGATGCTTAATCTTATGTTTAACACTTTAACTTAGGGGTTAGGACTGTTTTACTGTTTTACAGATGCTTATGTTTACTCTTTTTTGCTTTTTTACCTTGATTAGAACCTAATTAATAGGGGCAGTGGGGTTGAGAAGAGTGCAATTTTCAAATGACTTTTTGTGTTATTTTTTTTTGATAAGAAACTAATTGTTAGGGTTAGTGTGAGGTAAGAAATCCCAAGGTCAATAGGTGACAACTATTTTGCAATTAATTGATCAACCAAAGCATGTGTTTTTATTTATTAAAAGACAAAACCAGGTATCAATAGGAGATAGTGGCAGGCAAGATTGTTAGAAGGGTAATTGCTGCAACTGATGTTTGAACTTTTGAGCAAAATGGGCTGGATGGTTGTTATTGTCACTTAGTTTGGAAGGAGACATTATGTTATGAGAATTATGTTGGAATTGATAGTCGGTTCTTCCCCATTCTTTTCTTTTTGTTCTTCATGTTCTCTCTCATTTGATTATATTCTACCACATTCTTCCCTACTATAATATAGTTGAACAAACCTATAAATGTGCAGTAGTTAAGTGATGGTTTGCCCTCACTTGAATGTGCAGTAGCTAATTCACTTGACTGTTCTCCCTTAACTTTTCAATTTTACATATGAAGAGTGTAAATAATTGAAGAAGAACCAACCAATCAAGTGTTTGGAGTTGGATTGAGAAGCTAYGAGTGTTGACTTTGGTTTATATAGAAGACGTGAGATGTAGTAAATGGGACAAGTAGATGAGATGTTGTTTAAACGCAAAGGCTATAACAACTTGATTAAAGAAACCTTAACATATTTTTTTAAAGCAAACACTCAACTATAAGATCACATTTATGAACAAAAAACACTAATGGATCTATCGATCTATGAAGGAAAAAGCTAGACAATTGTAAATTACCACACTTGGATGTTTTTAATTGGGCATCATTTAGACTTTTCGCCGTGGGCACCAATAATCTCAGGATCAGCCCTGCATTTTACCATAGAAGATAATTAGGAGCACAAGCTTCACGTAAGGGACTTCTAACCATAGCGAGTAACTTCTCTCAACTAGGAAATCATGTATAAACTAATTAATGTTTTCAGCTTATATTGAAAAATATCTTTTCCATTCTCAAACCAACACTTTCCTAATACACTATATTAACCTTAAACTTTATATATAATTTGACTTGCAAAATAATCACACAAACTCATGATTCAAGGCTAAATTAATGTTTCAGAATTGTGATTCATCCGCGCTGCATCGTGCGGGTACACCATTAGTATATATGTGTATATATATATATATACTATATTATAAAAATTTGATAAAAACTCTTAAAATATTTTTTATGAATGAAGTATTGTTTATTGATGCATATTACTTAAAACTTAATATTACAATGCGTAAGTACAACTTATTAAGGCTGCATGTTTATATTTATGTAACTAACTGCGAATAAATATAACCAAATACATAATAAACATCTTTTTTAAATATAAAAAATCTAAAATATAATTAGGATAAATTATTGAAATCTAACGGAATACTTAATTATTATCTTTATGAAAAATTATATTATTAAACCAAAATTAAGTTACTTTGTCACATTAAATTAAATTATAATAAAAAAATTGAATTAAAAAAATACACAAAACAAGAACTTTTCAATAGTTAATTTGATATTAATATCGACATATTTTTTTCAAAATTTTATGATATTTTATTTAAAAATAAAAACATTATAGTTTTCTCAAACTACATAAAACCGTATTATATTGACATAGATAAAGAATAAAATGAAACATTGAAATCGAGTCGTGTCTCGATGTATTGTACGGGTATCCTTCTAATATATGTATATACATCTAGTAGTTACTCGTTTAAAAACGTATGGATTTAAATTTTTGTGATGCCTTAGCTATTATTGATATAAATTTTAATATTTTTATTATAAAATTATATCTTGTAATAAATAAATTATGAATGACTTTATAAATATTAATACTTAATTAAAAGTAATAAATGTTACTTTCAAAAGATAACTGTTTTATGCGACTAAAAAAAACAAAAGGAAGACAAAACAAACAACCAGCAATGGGCTTGGCCCAACTTCTGTATCGGGTATTCGGGTTAAAGTGAAGACCCAAACTACCACCGGCGGATCCAGTTTGGTCTAGTGGGGCACCTTTAAGGTAGCTTAAACGCCCACCAAGTCGTCCGATGTGTTTTTAGCCTGATTCCACCATTACAAAAGATTTTTGAAGTTTTTTGGATTATTTCGAGGGATTTTTTAAGGGTTTTTTTATCGATTTCAAGGAACTTTTTCAGTTTTTTGTTGATTTCAAGATACTTTCTTTAGTTGGTGGGGGCCCTAACAAGAAATTACGGAGGAGAACCATGATAGAAAATAAAAAAAAAACAACTTTTAACCTTAGGAAAATTCATTTTTTTTTTATTTTTTAATGGGGGCCCTTCCCCATCTTTTACATGGTAAGTCCTCCCCTGCAAACTACTCGGACCATCCAAGGTCCAAACCAAGGGTGGGACCAAAACCCGATTTGTAAGGTTCGTGTTATATCATGTAAATACGAAACCGTCCCGACCACAGAGGAGGCATGGCGTATAAGAAGTGAACGTCACGCCACAAGGGAAAAGAACACAAAAAGGAAAAAAAGATATGATCATCATTGTATCTGTAACGTATACCACCAACGACCGTTAAGAATAAAAATAAAAACACGAAAACCATGAACCCCAAAGTCACATTTAAAACGACAGTAAAAATATGTAACTCCCGATTTTTTTTTCACATGAAAAAGAAGAACCCTCCCAACACTTTTTCCATCTTTACTGCCTCATACCCCTATTAATACACCATTTCTTAGCTTCACCGAACACAATCAAATACTCCAAAGCATAATCATTTCCATTCTCATTCTGTCCTAAGATGGCAATCTTTACGACCCGTTTCATGTTTTTTGCTACTATTATTTTTTCATTAGCCGTAATCCTTGGCAACAAGTCGGTGTCAGCGCAGTGTCAAGGTGACGTTCAAGGACTCATGGAACAATGTGCACGCTACGTACAGAAGTCGGGCCCTAAGATTCAACCCTCTGTTGGTTGTTGTAGCATTGTCAAGAATGTAGACTTGGCATGCGTGTGCGGCCATATCACGACCGAGGTCGAGAACATAATCAGCATGGAGAAGGCAGCATTCATTGCTCAAGCTTGCGGCAAACCACTTAGCCATGGAACCCGATGTGGAAGTAAGATTTTCGCCAATTCATTAATCTCTTCACATTTGGTGTTTTTGCTGACTTTAACTTGTTTTTACTTTGTGTTTTCTTAGGTTATGTTGTGCCATGAAGGTAGAAGGCCAAGATCCTGAGTTATGGAATAGTTGAAATGTAGAACATTGCTTCTTTTTGTACCAAATAAATAAAGTTATAATAACATATGGTACAATTTTTTTTTAAGGCATGTTTCATTTTACTATCTCTAGTTTTATTATGCAATACAATATATATATATATATATATATGTGTGTGTGTGTAAGTGTGTTAGTGTAGACATGTGAAATTGTGGTTTTGGATGTCATGATGGTAATAATGGTGGTGATTTTTTTTTCTAAAAGGTACTTTTAAATTACGTAATGATACGAAACAAAAAGTAAATTGTCTTATTATTTTTTTTATTAGATATTTCTAAAAAATGTGATCTAAAAACGTCCTAAAAACCGACTTTTGATGTAATGGGAGTCTTCTAAGAAAAGTTAGATAAAAGAACTACGGTGGTGCAAGATCGTTCTTGACAATTCATAGGTATACGCTACAAAAAAATTGGGTTTATAGGACACTCTCAATCTCTAAGCGTCCCAATAGACCGTTTTATTGGATTTGATTTATAGGACCAAAATATAAAGCGTCATATTTAAAGATGTTGTAATAAGTTTATATGACGCTTTTGGACGTCTTAACAATTTTTTATGACATTTTTAATACAAAGTGTCGCATTAGCAACTTTATATGACACTTTTGAGAAAGTATTCTATAAACTCAATTTTTTATCAGACGGTTTTTCAAAAAGTGTCCTATGAAGTTACTAATGAGACGCTTTATTTAAAAGTGTTCTAAAAAACTTATTACGACGTCAAAAAATGTCATATAAACTTATTACAACGCATTTAGATAAAACGCTTTATTTTTTTGGTCCTATAAGCCAAGTCTTATAAAGAGTTCTATTAGGACGCTTAGAAATTGGGAGTGTCCTATAAACCCAATTTTATTGTAGTAGTAGGACAATTTAGATACAAGAAATATGAATAATTTGATACAAGAAATATGGATAATTCATACAAAACTCGTAAACAAATGTTTTTATTATCAAAAACAAATTTAGATACCATAAATATAAATAATTCGTATAAAATATTTCTTTTCCATGGACGTAAAATTATTAATAATAATAGTTTCTATTTATTTCAATAATATATTGTATATTATTTCCAATCATCAATCTATTCAACATCAATAAACATCAAGTGATACATCTGTCTTCCATATATAAGTTGTCATCTTGTATACTTGGGCCATAACGTTGTTTTGTGAGAGTAAAATAATTTAAATCAATTGGATGTCTATCTCATCTCCATATTAATGCTTTTTCACCGAGTTTAAACTTTAAGGTTAAAAAACTCTGTTTTTTGAAACCATCAAATTCAAAATCAAAAGTATATGTCGGTTATAGTTTGAGATCTTAGGGGCCGTTTACCAAACACTTACTTGGTAAGTGCTTACTAGATAAATTTTGTTATCGGATGAACATGAAAAATGTCAAAAATCTTACCGCGTAAGAGAAATGAAAATGATAGAGAGTCTTACCCGGTAAGTAAGGATGTCGACTCTTACCCAGGTAAGCACTTATCCAGTAACTTGTTGCATTCGATATGTTTTGATGTACTAAAATGTTACGTATCATAATAAATTATAATGTTAAATCTTATCGATAAGTACTTACCGAGTAAGCATTTAGGTAAACGAACTCTTATTCTTATTTTTTTATAGATATAAGAGTATTAATACTCGATATTAGAAAACTAAGGGGGCGTATGGTTCGTAGAATGGAATTCAATGGAATTGGAATTCATCAAATGAATTTGACTTTAAGGGAATGAAATGGAATTTGATGGAATTTGACCATGTCTTTTGATTGCGTTTGGTTGGATGGAATTGGAATGAAATTCTTAACCGAATTGGATTTTTTTTGTTTCGTTCACGGAATTCAACGAGAAAATTACAGGCAAAAAAAACTGAAACCGAAACTTTCGGGCTGGGTTCGGGGACATCTTATCGGGGACGGGGCGGGGACGGTGATTATCGGCCCGGCCCCGGCTTGATATGTATATATATATATATATATCAATTTTAATTTATATACATATATATATAATATATATATATATTAAATTCTAATTTGGGTTTCGGTTTCGGGTTCGATTACAACCAACGGTGAACGGGAAAAAGATGATTTTTACCTTCACGAATTCCCCAACGGGGATCGGGGAAACCGCGGGACCCGATAAGATCCCCGACGGGGATCAGGGCGGTCATGGGGACGGTTTTAGTTATCGGAATCTGGGACGGGGATACCAATAACCGGCCCGAACATGGCCCGTTGTCATTCTTAGTTTTAAACGAGATTGAGCATAGCAGAACAGAGCAAATCGAGATACAGCGTCGATGAATGGATGAGGGCTAAGGAATTTGTCGGATTGGAATTTGAAATCCGTAGTATATGCGGTGGAATTGTGAAATCAATGAAGTAAGGAATTGGATGGAATTGGAAGGATTCTTTCACATCTATTATGTGAACCAAACATGTGATTTGGAATTTGGTCAAAGATTTGGACATTCCAATTCCACCAAATTCCATGAACCAAACACCCCCTAAGAGTTTAAGAATGTATAAAAAATAAAGAGAGTTTTGAAATCCTAAATATAGATTGTAAAGTACCAACTATAAAAGCATAAGCATGTACGAGTAGCCAACGAAAGTAGTTATGGATACAACATAATCAAATAAAATAGCCGATAGAAGCAAAAGCAGTCAAGAACACAATAGAAGAAACGATAACAAATAGAAGTAACCTAAAAGAATTAATAGATAGCAATAGTCAATATAAGCAGTCAAACAAACAACATAAGTAACATAAACAAATAGAAAAAACCAATATAATACAAAGCCAATAACACTAAACAGGGTGTCTGGTTGAGGATATTAAAAGGGTTTTTTAGGCTTTTGTTATTTTATGAGTCAACACTCTTAACTTACTTTACCATATAAGATTCTAGTTCATCAAAACGATATCGTATGCAACAATTTGCCCGGTAAGTGCTTACTAGTTAAGAGTCGTCACTCTCACTTATCTTATAAGACTCTTCATGCTTATCATCACTCTTGTCAGGTAAGATTCTTGACCATTTCCATGTTCATATGGTAAGGTAAATGGCCCGATAAACGCTTACTGGGTAAGCATTTGATAAACGGCCCCTAAATAGATGAGTCTAGATCTTTATCAAGGAAGGATATGAGTGAAATATTTTCCAAATATGACGATCATCAACAAATCCTTAATGCATTATCTTTTGTAGTTCTTGTGAAAAAAATTCCGTTTAATACTTGATGGAAAAATTAATTTTTGCAATTCACATGAGATGATAAATCGCTAAGAGTTGGTTGGCCGCTTATAGAAGTCTAAGGTTGTGACGTTATTTTATGAGTAGAGATATAGAAAAGAATCAAGAGTTGAGAATTTGTAAGATTCTTATAGAGGATAGTATCAAAACAACGGGGATCGGTAAGGCCAACGTGTCTGATCTTTCGTACCCAAATCCATCATATCATTCAGGATGGAGACGTACATGTTAAGAACCAAATAAGATTGGCCAAGGGCCATTAAAATCGAACTTTTTAAGTTCTATAATTCCGGACGTATTTATGCAAGAGTAACAATAATTTCTTTAAAAAAAAGGTAAAATCTAAAGGTTGAAAAGTCTTCAATTTTGAAAAAAAACTATTTGGTAACACACCAAATCCATTGACGTACCCACTCGATCGGGAAAATGCCTAATTGTCTTTGTTCATGATTTTTATATTTTTTAATTAAAAATAATATATAATTATTAAACGAATTTTCAACTAAAAATCGATAACACCGACAGGAATTGTTTGATACAAAATGTACCAATCTAACAAGTTGTATGTTAATCGAAATAAGTCATATCGAATTGTATTATAAGTTGATTTAATAAATAAAAATCATTCTAATAAGCTTTTAATATGAAAGTTACTGATAAACGTGGTATGAATATGTTTTAAAGATTAAATTTTGTTATGACGAAAACGTAATAAAATAGTATATTTGTCTCTAAATTCAATTTCATAAGGTGTTATGTGATTGTATGTGTATAAATGAAGGCAAATATGAATCATTGACAAAAGTTCAAAAAGAAAATTCTATTTGAAGAAGCATATTTAAACAAATGTTATGGATTATTAAATGATAGTCCTTACCTTGGTATCCAAGGAAACTTTCTTTTTGTCATTTTCATTGTACTACTTAAGATCTTTGATGATGAGCCTTCCAATAGAATCAAATATATCCTCATCATCAAAATCATTTGAAAAGTCACCTTTATCTTTGTTATTTTCATGATGAAGCCATACTTTTGGAACAATAGGGCCATCTTTAAGGATAGAGAGATATTGATTGTCAACACTCTTAAGGAAGAGTGTCATGCGATTTTTCATAGAGAAAAGTTGTTCTAGTTCAACTATGGAAGCTTGGCAATAGTACCATTGTCATGGTACAAAGAAAGAGTGGAGTTGGCAGAAGAAGAGGCCGTTGCAGATCTAGCTTATGAGATTAAGCTAACTGTTCTGATACCACTTGTTGGTCCCGAATAGGATGGCAATAAACAAAAACTAATTGTAGAAGGGGGGTTAAATATAATTACTTAGATTTTTTCCAACTTTTTAATTCTTATTGATGAATATCAAGAATTAACACACACACACACACAGAGATACAATACAAATTGTTGTGGAAGAAGGAAATGATAACCTAACCTAAACAATCTTACATAGAGAATAACTTACAAGAACAACACAAAGAGTATTTGGCATGAAATGAAGAAACTAAATTTTTATTCACACATAGGAGAGTAGGGGAGTAGTAGAAGAGAGTCGATTGCCTTGAGAATGCACTTAGAAATTCTTTCTGGGAAGCGTAGTTTGCATAGGAGATGCACTCTCTCTTTTATACTACCCTCATGCATTAGATGCACGGGGATACTTGTCACCTTCAAATAAGGAGGTAGGGGTTGACTTGACCATAGTTGATATATCATTTTCATCATA